ATGACACTTTCTTATTTAACATAAAGTATTTTTTTCAGGTTTTATTGATATAGAAATAATTATGATGATGATGATTATAAAGAAAATTTTGTGTCATAAAATTGGACTTTGGACTTTCCATAATATCATTTAAAAATTGGACTTGGGAATTTCATCAATGAAAATATTTTGTATTGTATATGAAATATATCTTTTTTTATGAAATTTATTTGTTTTTCTATCTATATATATTTTCTATTACATTTCATCAACTAATATATATATATATATGTATTTCATCACAGGATCACCCTCTCTATTTATGTTTACTACCGCTGACTGTTTCAACGATCCTCCCAGTTTTCTATATTATAAAATGTATTATGACTATTTTTAGACATAATACATTTTATAATAGAAAAACTTGAGCCTGCGATGAAATATATGTATATTTTAGTTAACTACTATGAAGTTACTTTTTTTCGATGATTGATAGAGAATTGAACGTGATTTTGGGCAGATTTTACTTACTACGCTCTTGCCCGTGTCCGCTTTCTTAACACATCACTTGTAGCTAAATAGAAATGCAGTTAAACATAATATCTCAAAGAATATTTGGACTAATCAAACAAAATTTTCACACAATGTTAAGTATGAATAGAGCTATGCAATAAACTAAAACATGGAGGTTTTGAGCAATTTGTTATGACTTATGCTATTTTTCGTCCAAGGACTTCATGCACATTTTTTTCACTTTTTTGAGAGAGTGTAAATCACAATCATTTGATAGTAAGTTGATGATCCTAGTTCATTGCACAGCTCTGGACATCAGTTATCAGTGTGCCAAATCCTAGTTATCCACTATGAAGCATACCAGAGATATTATGTTTACTAGTGACCCCATAATTTGATTTGCGAAAATGGGTGTGGTTCTTTGAAGGTGTGTGGTTTATCAGGAATGTAAGGAATTTGCCAAGAACTTGTTGGAAATTGTTCTTTGAAGGCTATCTAGTGCTATTAACTTTAATAACAGGTCATGTGTGAATGTAAACTGTTTGAAAAATGTTAACAAAATTTGCCATTTTTGGAGCTAATTAAACAAGCTGGTGACAGACCGCCATTTCGAAGTATCTGCTTACATGGCAAAAGAGAAACCAGAAGTAGATCATGCATATGATGTCTGGCATGTGGCAAAAGGTATATATATTTATGTATGTGTATTTTTAATTTAAAATCTCTGGCACAAAAATATATAAAATTCTATGATATTGAAAAGTAAGTCTGTTATTAAGTAAAGTAAGTTTTTCCAACAATCTCGAATATATTTTAGGGGGAAAAAAGAAACTGGTGAAAGTGGCAAAGAAAAAGAAATTCAAACATATTCAGCCATGGATTGGGGTATGCATGTCATGCATGTAAATGTATAACATGTATGTGTTCATGCAGGAATCGTCATTGCACTATGACAATAGCCTGGAGGGCACATTGTGATACATATTGGATATAGATATATATATATATATGTTCATTTTTTCATTAACTGAACAGTCAATTATCAACCATATATATTGGGTTGGCGACTCAAGTGAAACTCCAGATGAGAGGGAAGAAAAGTGGCGCAGTATTCTCAATCACATTGTTAATATTCATGAGCATGATGGTCACAAGCTATTTACAAAATGCCTTCATGACACAATTGATAGAGCTTGGCTCAAAAAAGGTTGAGAAGACAGAATAGACTAGAATTTAGAAGTTTAATTCATGCCTCAAAATTTTTATACTCATCTATACAACAGGGTCAGCTGCTCACAAAAAATTAGAGGAGATGTTGACATGGCCTCGACTAATTGCAGCAATTCGAAAGTTATCCAAGTATCACCAGACATCAGGCTTAGAAGCCAAACATGCTTTGGATAATATGCTTGCCTCAAAGAATACTTATCATTCATATCACTCATTGAGTGCAAGGTATGTTATTTAAAAATCCTCTTAAAATTTGCAATGCAATTAAAATATCTTAAAGATGATAAAATAAGGACATTTCAATATTGAAGAAAGTTATCATAAATTGGGATTTTTTAACTTTCTGTATTAATAAAGACTGTACTGTTCAAACTTGCACTACAATGAGAACAGCAACAGACCACAAGCAAAAACTGCAGATGGAAACTTGAGATGGCCAATTACCTATCCAAAATCTTTCAAAGGAGAAAAAGCTGTTGCAAAACCTTTGAAGGAAAAACCCACCTATGGTAAGAATGATATCACTCAATAACAAATAAAGCAAGAAAATTTCATGATATAAAAAATAGTAGTATTATCGAAAGGCTAATACATTTTGGCGATAGTTTCTCTAGAGTAGTAAATAATTATCCTATTTAGGATATGTGCAGTTAATATTGAATGAAGTTGTAAAACTAAGAAGCCAGTACTCAACTTTGAAGAAGGCCAAAGCACATGCAGATATGATGCTACCTCCTGAACCACAATCCCTTGTCGAACAGTATTTGGCAGGAAAGGAAAGACCCTCAAAGGAGCAAATTGTAGCCAACAAAAAAGCAAGATATAGTACACCAGCTCTACCCAAAAGTTCACAAGGGAGCAGACCTCACACAAATATTTGTAAATGTAAAGGAAAATGTGCCACCTCAAAGTGTGATTGCAGAGCATTGGGATTGTTATGTCAAAATGAATGCAAATGTAGAGAGGCGAAGTGTATTAATCGAGAGTAGAGTTCAAACATAAATTTATTAAAAAATAAAATAAGATATTACCGTTTGGATATTTTGGCGTACTTAAAATGTGTATAAAGTCCATCTGGTGATGCGAAGCGTTTTCGTATGCTAGCATACACACAAGCAGGAAATGGTCTTCAATGTTTCTTCCCCAAAATTTGAAATATCCACCTAGAACATCTTTGATAGGCAACTAATCGATACAGCTTGTGTATTCTCTCTAGATCCTCATCAGACGGGCCAGTTTTCTTCAAGATGCCGACACACGTCTATCTTTAACACACTTTCTGAGAGCATATTGTCCATAAATTCTTGGTGTGTTGTCAAGCAATTTACTCCTTCAGTTTCTGTTTGGCCTAGCAAAGCCTCATACTCATCGTATTCTAGCGCTTTTTTGACAAAGTACAATGTCCACACTTACACCAACTAAGAGTTTGAAGGCGTCAAGCATTTGCTTTCTCAAATTCAGCATGTGTTTCATCCGACGAGGACAAGTCGCTCTGCTCACTCTCCTGTTCGGAACCGCTTTCTTCACTAGTTTCGGCCTTCACTTCAGGTTCATATTGATAGGGCAGAACCTCACCCGGTTGATTTTCGTGTATGCCATCCATTACAGCAAAAAAAACCCCGTAAAATACGCTTTAAATGTGTTGTAACGCAGTCAATCACAAAGTATATTGTATTGTTGTTTTCACTGCTCACCAGCCAATGACGTCACTACCGCTAGAGATAATTTTTTCAAAATTTTATCCAAGATGGCGCAATTTATAAAACTTTAGCTGCAAATATCTCTGCAACAAAATATTTTTGAGAAAAAATTTTGCTATTTTAGTTGTTAGACATCACATAGGTTCAAAAATATGCCATAAAAATTTTCGTTGCCAATGTCCTTTAACTATCTTTTCCAGGGAAGTCTTTCTGTTTGAGATTTCGCATAGCTCCTTCCAGGGGCGGATCTAGGGGTAGGCACCATAGGCAAGTGCCTATGATGAAATTACCAAAATATACTTCGACTTAGATTCGATACGAATTTATCGAATTATGAAACTATGAATAGCACTTAATCGCAGTCAAATCATCTGACTTTTGTTAAGAAATGTTGTGCAATTAAATGACGTAATTTTGATATGAATCGTAGTCCAGATGCGTATGATTATCTATAAAGCTCCGTGTCGTTAGGCAAAGCAGCCATTTTGCCTAAGTCAAGAAGGCGATCTAGCCATTTGATTGGTTGTTAGCAATTTGCCTAACTTGACATCGTGTATAGGTATTCTGATTGGGCAATTTTTTGCAACCGTATGCTTTCATTGGTCAATTTTTTTTTGCCTAACTTGAGCAATTCCAACCAATCATTGCTGTTGATAAGCATAGTTGAGCTAGGCAAATTAGGCAATTGAAAATTAACATACACTCGTATTGTTTCTGAACAGCCTCTGTGCTCAGTTTACGGTTTTGTGATATTTTATAATGTCTTCATTGTGTTGTGGTAATTTATACGAGACTGCTCAGTCTGCGTTGGCCAAAACGATTTAAAATGCCTTAATGAGCTTTATTCTCGTTTATTGGTCGACGTTCGACCTATGTTTACTAACGAGCAGCTGTTAGATAGAATTTATGACCCCGACCATACTCTGTGTCGAAATTTTGGAGCTGAAATATATGTGCCAAAGCACGCTCATGACGGAAAGACTTGTACTGCAATAAGGTAAATATATTATAATTATATATATCGTATTGTAGTATTTATATATACGTGTAAAATGGTTAAATCTCAATTTCGCTAGGCTATATCTTTGTCTACAGTCAGCAATTCATTCATACAATGCAATCAATCTACCAAACAAAATATTAATTTCTTTTCTTGAATATTTTTAAGATCTGAAGCTTCTGGCAATTGCCTCTACAGTTCAGCTTCCTAGTTCTGGTAGGTAACAATGCATTGGTCCCTACTTTGAATTTTAACATCGCTTGAGCTATTTATTCATGCTGCTTTTATGCTCAACACCCATGCTTTTTGTCTGTTATAAGTGAGCACAGTGATTACTTTGCCCAAAGCTTAAACAATCTTTTGCCTTTGTCAGTGTCTAAAGAATGTTTAGACACTGGATATACAACAGATGAACTGGTAAAACAGGAGGCTATTTTAAATTGTAATGACCAGAAATGGTCATCTTTTCTTTGTATTTTGGGCCTATCTTCTGTTTTAGGTAGAAAAATTCATACTTTTATCCTGATTCTGGTGAAAGTAGATATAAATTGTTATTTAATCGTATTGTTCAGCCCGGTTATTAAGCCAAAGAGGTTTGGATGCTATTAATATTTTGTTTTGTCATGAAGGATCTGTACAACCAGGTGAGACTTTTCAGTCTAATCATTTTGTGCCTCTCATTTTCCATGCCCACAGGTTGAAGCGAAAATTGTCTAATTCCTGTACACAGTCTAATTCTAGCAGCTCAACAACAGAGAAACGAAAATTTGCACCAAAAACAGTTGACATTTCAAATTCTTTTACTTCAACTAATAGGCCTGCTGCCCAACCAACTTTTAAAAGGATGCCCAATGAGAGTTTTTCTTCTGCTGCAGCTCTTGCTCAGACATTAAATAAAGCCAATAGTCTTTTGCTTCACACATCATCCCAGGAACTATTGCCTGGTATTCCAACTTCTGGTGATATGCAACCTGCTGTTTTAACCCATAATTTTGATGTTTCCTTGTATAGGGAGAAAGTTAAGGGTATGGATAATTCTGAAATATGTCATTTGATAAAAAATGTATATAAACCAGATAAAAAGTATCATTTTCCTAAATCTAATGGCAGATCATTTAGGCATGATTGGCTAGACCAGCATGAATGGCTTTGCTATTCACCTTCACAAAATGGTGCGTATTGTCTATCGTGTGTGTTGTTTGGCAATAGATTCCCAGGCAAGGCCAGTAAAGTAAAAAAGTTGTTTACTGAACCTCTTCAAGATTGGAAGAATGCTAAATGCTCTTTCACTCAACATGCTGGAAAAAGTAAAGGAGGGAAGTCGGTTTGCATGCATCCACATCACCAATTTTGATGCTTTGCTTCCCAAATATCAGGTACTCTGCAGCCTATCGAGATGATCATGGATGCTGGTATCAAGAAAGAAATAGAACAGAATAGGGAAATACTATCTCCAATTATTGATTCTGTCATTTTTTGTGGACGTCTAGGTTTACCTCTTCGTGGGCATCGTGATGATTCCAAGTATCACCCTACTGTTGGTTGTTATTCATCTGGAGGGGTTGGTAATTTCATTGAAACACTCAATTATGGAGTTAGGAGAGGGGATAAAGTTTTAGAAAATCATTTAAAGAATTGTGGTAAGAATAGAAGTTATATTTCTAAAACAAGTCAAAATAAAATCATTAAATGTTGTGGCCAGGTAATCAGTAATCAGATTATTTCTGATATCAAAAAAAGTAAGTTTTTTTCTGTTATTGCTGATGAAGCATCTGATTCTTCACATAAAGAACAAATGTCTCTTGTTTTGCGCTTTGTTGATACCGATATGAATATCAGGGAAGAATTCATTTCATTTCTTTTTTGTAAGTGGGGACTAAGTGGTGCTCAACTTGCCAAGCTACTTTTAGAGGCTCTAAAGGAACTGACTTTATCAATAGATGATTGTAGGGGGCAAGGTTATGATGGGGCTGGTTCAGTTGCTGGTTGCACTAATGGTCTAGCAGCTCAAATTTTAAAGCTTAACCCAAAGGCTCTTTATACACACTGCTATAGTCATAGGTTAAACTTATCCATTTGCGATTCTTTGAGTATACGTGTTGTCAATGATATGTTGAAACATGTTAACAATGCCACTAATTTTATTAAAATTTCCCAAACTCGCAATATTCCCTTTGAAAACATATACGTAATTCAGAAACAAACTCGAAAAGACTAGATTAACAGACGTTTGCAAAACTAGATGGGTAGAACGTATCGAAGGTTTAGATACATTCCAAGAGCTTTTTGTACCTGTATACACCACCCTTAACGATATGTCTGAAAATCTAGATGGTGAGTTCAAACCGTCGCTTCAGTCTGATGCCTCATCTTTGTTTCAACTTATTGACAGGTTTGATTTCGTCGTTGCTTTAGTTATCACGAGAAATATTCTTGATTCAACTCTTCCAGTAACACAGTTATTACAGGGTAAGAGTATCGATATAATGGATGGTATTCATTTAATTTCAACTTTGAAAACTGAGGTGGTGAACATGAGGAATTCCTCTGATTTTTATCATGACACCTGGTATGACGGCTTGAACTGGCAGCAAAAGTTGGCATTGAAGAATGGAAACCAAGAACAGTGCGCAAACAAACGACCAGGAAAATATTCCCCACACAACCATTTCTGAGTATTATAAACGTGCAATTACTCTTCCTCTACTAGATCATTTGCAATCTTCTTTAGAATCACGATTCGACCTTGAGAGTGTGAATGTCTATAAAGGCCTTAGCATTGTACCGACGAAAATGATGTCCATGACAAGAGATGGGGTGGATTGGAAAGAGCCATTCAAAACTGTGGCTAACTTTTATTATGATGATTTGCCAAATCCTTTGGCCTTAGATGCTGAACTTAGGTTGTGGTACACTTATTGGGAGACCCACTGCGGCCTCCTTCCTGATAACATTGCCCAGACTTTAAAATCTGTTCATTTCGCGGATTTGAAAACATTAAAATTTTACTACGTATTTTAGGAACGCTCCCCATTACCTCTTGTGAATTTGAACGATCTATTTCTTCCCTTAGGACACTTAAAAACTATCAGCGAAGTACCATGGTTGGGGAACGCTTAAATGGTTTGGCCTTGATGCAAATTTCAGGAAATTGTACCAGATATTGGTGAGGTTATTAATACTTTTGCTGTTGGAAATACAAGGCTAAAATTTGCATGAATTTATTCATATCCTAGTTTTTTATTTTGTTGAAATGTCCATATGTTAACCATTTATTGTGCGTTGTACACAATAGTAACGTCAATAGAATTTGCATCAAACTAATAGCTTGCCCGATAAAGGTTTTTTTCCCTATATACATTCCAATCTTAAAACTGCTGAGTACGTGTATGGTACTCGGCCGTTGTCGACATAAATTTACTTTCACAAAATTGTTAAGCATAAATAGAATAATTTTTCCTTACACCAAATTTTAGTCTTCACAAAGACTCTTTATACAAAGCTCTATTTTGACTATTACATTACATTTACATTCTGCTCATTTGTTGGCAAATGAGAGTGCACATTTTAGGTGGGGGGTAAAGGGTTGGAATTGACTGGGATGGTGTAAGAAACTGAGCAATCTTACATCCATGAAATGTCCCACATAGTCACCCATTTCTAACCAAACTCCTTTTGCTATTTGCTAAAGGTGTGAAAGGCGAGTTTCTGGCCTTCAAAACCAGAGTGCTCATTTTAGGTGGGGGGTAAAGGGTTGGAATTGACTGGGATGGTGTGAAAAATTGAGCAATATCACATCCATGAAATATCCCATATAGTCACCCATTTCTAACCAAACTCCTTTTTCAAAGGTGTGTAGGCGAACTTCTGGCCATAAGCAGTCTGCTTAATTCTCTCACAGGGCTGTCCATGCCGGATCACGATTTTTGTTTTCGCTAAAGTGTTCCTAAGGCATGCTGATGAGCCCTGATATGGGGCGAAACAGTCTTGTGTGCATTCAATATTCTGAATAGTGAAAATCAACGACCTTGTGATATGTAAGTATAAATATACAATGTTTTTATGTATTTATACGATTGAGATCTACAAGATTCTGCATAGCTGAATGATTAGACTGTTTGATTTAAACAATTTATTGAAAGCATAAATAGTGTAGTATGTTTTGCAAAGTATGACGTCATAATGTTTTGCCTATGGTATCCAAAATCCTAGATCCGCCCCTGGCTCCTTCTATGCAGCCTTCAGTTTTCGCGTTTGCCGATGTGAACAACAACAAAAACCTACAAGAGCTATTTTGTTGAATTCCTCCGTTCTCCCCATACCTTTCATATCTCCTAATAAAATACCAGACCACAATGCCATCTCACTCAAATACTTTGTAGTGAAGCGGAGAAATTTTGGACAGTTCTCATTTCCTGGTGATTTGCAGGAATTTGCTGAATCCTTCTCAACACATTCTTTAACTTTCCAAACGATGGTAGAAAACAAATCGACAAAACGGTTTGAAGATGGGATGACTACACCATCATCACAATCGCTGTAAGCCAAACTGGTGTGAATGCTTTCCTTCTGAAATTTGGAAATGTTTACAGAACATAATTTGTCCATGTTTTGGATGCGTGCATTAACTCTTGCATATGCGTTCCTTAACACCTTTGTTTGCTTCTTGCTGCATAAGCATATAATAATGTCTTCTAAAGTCGTTTGAAATTCGTGTAGAGTCCTTGCATTCACAAGCAAGGACATGGCGTACATTTTGAAACGATACCAATTTTCTTCTTTCTCCTTAAGTTCTTCTCCAGGCCGTGCAAATTTTTCGGCAAAATCCAATTTTTTGAGGTACCTGTGAACAATGTGCATGAAGTGACTACATCCAACATGCGGTACTGTAAGAGCTAAATCATTGTGAAGACTTCTTCCATTGACTATCCTGAAAGCCATCTTGAAGAATGCTGGCATTGATTCGTTATTGAATTCCTGCAAAACTGTCATTAATAAAGCCCTTGAATAGTCTGTGTTTACCTGCCTTGGAGATGATAAATTCCTTCTATATAACTTTGATTCATCTCGCCGAAATCTTTCTAAAAATGAGGGAATATGATCCGTTGTATGATCCGAAGTAATCATTTCTGCGACTGGAAACAATGGTTCATTTTCTACTGGATGGCACATTACTAATGCATAATAAAGGACGTGCTTCCAGCTGTAATCAGCAACCAATGTTCCTGTTGCGTCAAGATAAGAAATATCATCCTTGCTTCTATCGTGCAACAAAAGCACTTGATTCTCTGTCCACATGTGAACGATGAGAGGATACATTGCAATAGTATGTACTAAACCATCGTGGGCTTTTGATGGTGGAAATTCGCGTGCAGTTTCCTTTAAAGAAGCGTTCTTACTTTTTCCAGAGAGCATGAAAGGTCTTGTTGCAACAGTTTTCCCTCACTTGCAATTTTTCTCATGGTTTCAGGTTTATTGCCACAGCCTGTTCTATTTCCAGATGCCATTGCATCAGGGAAAACATCCAGTTTTCTCTTCTGATACATAACGGATGGCTTAAGAAGGCCACTGCAGAATTCTTCCCTGAGTTGAGCGCTTTCTTCTTTAATGGGACGAGATTTTCTTTCACCATTTGTATGTTTCATGCTACCAGTGTATTTCACATGAAGAATATTTTAAGGAAAATCATCTTTGCTCATTGTGAGAGTAAAGCGGTGTGAACAGTTTTCAAATATACATCGACCATTAGCTTTCAATTAGATTTTGTAACGTCGCTTACGTGAAATTTGTTTAGACCCCACACGTATACGGATATTTTCGTATCCGCAACTTTTTTGTTGCGGATCAGGTAGCACAAAAAAATGTTGTTGCGTCCACACTTGTACGGATATTATCCGGATTTACTCTAGTTCCCATGACTTTTAGCGCTATCAGTTACCCGCACATATTTTATAACTTGGCGATAAATTGGTTAGCAATTGTGAATTCGGTCAGTGTTAAAGGTTTTTCGGCTTTGTCTGATTAAACATGTCATTATTTGGTCAGAAATCGAAGAAAAATGAGAAAAGCAAGACGGACTCCTTTATTTGGAGTGATGATGAGGTCGAACTCTTACTAAAAGTAACATTAGAATATAAAACATCCAACGCTATGGAGAATGTCGATTGGGAATCGATCAGAAGCAAGTATGATGACATTTTAAACGTTTCATTGAGCAGTATCCTTCGTCGGAAAATGCCCTGATGATGGGGAAAGATTACCCCCACCCAAACGAAGAACTTTCCAAATCAGTGTTGACATCCAAATTAAAAATGGTTCGAAAGAAGTTCAGGGAAGCTGTTGATTCAGGTAGGAAAAGTGGACATGGCCGCGTAGTATTGCTATACTTTGAACTATGCGAGCAAATATGGGGTGGTTCTCCTGCCACGAGTACGATAGCAGATGGAATCGAGACCGCTGAAATCGACGACGAACACAGCTTGAACCCAGAAAGTCCATATTATATGCTTAATGGAACTATCAGCCCTGAATTAGAAAATGAAAATAGCCCTGGTGATGCAACTAGTGATGCTAACATATCAACAGACAATGTCTCAACCTCCAGTAGCTCATCTTCCAGGGGTCAAGTCAAAGAGAGAAGGGACCTCCTTAATGCAAGATTACAAGGATACAAGAGTGAGAAACTCAAAAGAAAAATGCCTGTTGATGCACAACTCATTAACATATCACATGAAGAACTTCAAATAAAGAAACAACTCCTAGAGAGAATGGATAACATGGACAAGGCTTACTCCAACCAAATGGAAAAGCTCTCTAGTAACATGGAAAAACTCACTGATTCAATATCTGAAGGATTTGTTTTATTGAGGCAAATGATGTGTCCTGCACCAGGTGTGATTCAGCCACAGTACATTGCTCCCCAGGCAAACTACAGCATGTTCAACTACAGCAACACACAACATGCTTCTCAGCTAAACACTCCAGCGCACATAGCGGACAATTTTGAACTCTCAGTCCTTGTACTCAGACAATGAGAGTAGTTTTAAGCTGTAGTAAGGAGATATGTTATATATTAGATATTATTAATTTCTTGAGATTTATGACATTGAAAATATTGTTGGTTTTGTTCAAAGTTTATAATACATCTTATTAAAGATGATGCATACTGTAAATGATATATAAGGTTATAAAATATTATTGGTATATTTAATTATTGCTGGTATATTGAATTGTTACTAGTATTTTGCATGCACTCTGATGATATAATTAACTGTACATTTATGGAGCAAATTCAACCAGAAGTTTATGGTAAGTTTCTCACTCTAAGTGTTGATGAAACAATTCAAACAGAAAAATTACAGTAAAAGTTGACAAAACAACGAAAGTTATTAGCTACATAAAGGCCTGCAACATGATGCTATTTTTGATGCAACTTGAAACATTAATTTGCTTTTAATTGAGTAATGTAAAATCAGCTAAAAAGCAGTTTTTTGCATTGTGCTAATGAATTTATACTAATGCATATTCATCAACTTAACTCTTTCTCTTATTAACATGTAGAATTTTGCTTCAAGTTACAAGAGATAGCACATCATGTAATCTGGCTGAGTGAATACTGTATAATTTTAAGGGTCAAAATAATTTGTGAGAACTCTCCTTATTTTCTTCCCTTCAGCTTCATTACAATCTGTTCTGTAGTTGTTGTGACTAGGTGCTGGCTGAAAGTGGCTATCATAATCAATAGCTGAACAAACTTTGTCTTCTCCAATAATCTCTTTGTGAACTTCACAAAAGTTGTGAAGGACAAAACATGCATAGACAACAGTAGAGGTATCTTTAATGTTTATGTCCATTGCCCTCTTCAAAGCCCCAAACCTTGCTTTTAGACGACCAAATGCATTCAATCACCATTCTTGATTGGCAAAGGGTCATACCAAAATATTGCTCCTGAACTGTTGAACCTCCATTTGAGTATTCCTTCATGAGGTATGGCATAAGGGGATAGGCTGGATCTCCTAACAGGAATACTGGAATGGGATTCTCATCTGAAAGTATTTGTCGTGGGCATGGAGGTATTTCCCTACTCTTAAGAAAAAATTTAACTTTGAGTTGGAAAATACTCGGGCATCGTGAACACTCCCGGCCACTTGACGACGACGTCCATAAAGCAATACTTATAGTCACATGCAGCTTGAACATTTAATGTATACCGTCCTTTTCTATTTATGAAATCTGTGGAATTACATGCTGGTTGCCTAATTTCGATATGCGTACGTCAATTGCGCCCAAACATTGAGGAAAGCCGTGCAATCTGTGGAAGTTCCTGATATGCCTCTCAACATCTTCTTTTGTGAATGGCAGTTTAATATATTCAGGTCCAAGTCGAATCGTGATAGCTTTACACACTTTACGAATTATTTTGGATACAACTTGACGCGATAATCCAAAGGCATTCGCTGTTTTTCGCATACGTCCCTCGTCACTTAAGTAATAGAGTGTGACCGCTACCTGCTTAACCACATCTACTGGGGACCGCATTATTGTTGTTTTGCCTTCTATGTATGGTCTAAGTTCGTCAGCTAATTCGTGGAGAGAACGTCGACTCATGCGAAAATTTTCACACCATTCTTCTTCTATCACAGTTTGCCTGACAAAATTGTCCCACCAAGCGCTTGTACGTCCTGGTCGGACCCAAAATCTTCGACGACGAAATTGTTTTCCTGCTCGTTTTACTTGTTTATAGCGTCTGATCCGTGCATCAGACATGGAAATAAGCCTGAGGATATCAAGCTTGCGTTTGCAATAGTTGAAGTGTACAGAAAAAATTGCTAAGGTCAACTGAACACACGTTACAAGACTGGAAATAAGTCCAAGTAAAAGAGCAATGGTAACTGTATTAGTGGCCACCATGTTGAAAATTTGCGCTATAACAGTTGCTAGGCAATTCTGGTTACAAAAATATCCGGATTTACCGTCCACACGCATCCAAATTGTTTGCGGATACAAAAATTTTCACTCTAGAGAGCGGATTCAAAAGTTTCCGGATAACTCTCTGAAATATTCGGATGCGTGTGGACGAAAGGCCTATCCGCAACTTTTTTGTTGCGGATACGAAAATATCCGTATACGTGTGGACGGGGTCTTAGACTGAGACACACTGTCGCTGTCGCTATGTCGTTACCGCGCAGCGACGGGATTGAGCGGTTACAAAGCCGTGTCGCTCTGTCGTTTCAACACAGCCAGCGAATTCGCTGGAGCACATGAAATCGCTGTGTCGCTAGGACAAAATTTTCAAAATGGCGTCACTAGAAAAAGCACTTATAAATTCTTAATTGCAATTAGTAAATACTCATTTCGCAGAACATGTTTTCTTATCTCACAATATTTTTTGTCAGTATCGTCTGACCCAGTCAAATAAATATTTATTTTTCTCTTATTAAGCAAACGAACTAAAAGGTAAAATGAAAATTTGTGAGACACATATAGGCGATGCAAAAAGAAGCATGATGCAGCTATCAAATCTGGTGCTCCTGCTTCCTCAACACCAAACTGGGAGTTTTGGTCTATTATGACCTGGCTGGATGATTACACAAAACGATGCCAGTATGTAATTTTTGAAATTACACTATGATTTTCTAATAACAATGTAGACAAAAATAAGCTATTTCTATGAGTAATTGATCATTTTATTCATAGGACAATCTCGAATGTTGTTATCACTGTGGAAGACCAACTTATGTCTTCTCAAATCCAGGAAGACTCTGAGGAGATAGCTGAGAGTGTGCTTGCTGACAGTCCATCAAGCCAATCAACAAATTCGTCCAGCACATGTGAAATTGTAAAATGCAAGAAGAGGAAGGCTGAAGACATGTCACCATATCAAACAAGGTTGATTGGGTATCTAGAAACTCTTCACAAAAAACCAGTTAAAGAGCCAGAGAGTCAAGATGAATATGACTTTTTCGGAAAGAGTGTTGCTGAGCAAATTAGGAAGCTACCTACTCCATATGCTAGGGCTAAAGCCAAGAAGGAGATTCAGGATGTTCTTTTTAAGCTGGAGTTTCCAGAAAAATAGTTTGATGTTTTTTAAATGTTTCTGCTACAGTCATTATTTTCAAATAACAAAAAAACCAACAAAATAAACCGACTTTTTTCCAAATATTCTATTCATGATCATGATGTACGAAGGACATAATCCACTTGCCAAGATAACTCTCCTTCCAATGACATAAAATAACATGCAAAATCATCTCTTACTCCAAGAGCTGCTTTTGTTTGGTTTCTAGAGCTCTGAGCAATGGGTTGAAGAGTAGCTTTTTTCATCTCAGCTCTCCAACTCCCTTCATTTATTTGGCCATTTTCATCCACTGTATCTGTCGAGCCAGGAGGTGTGTAACTTGCTGCAGATTGCTTTTGCAGAAAGTTGTAAAGGACACATATAGCTTTAGCCAATTTGACCACGTTGTTTGGCTCAGCAACAATAGCAGTTTTCAAGATTCTCCACATGGAAACCATGATGCCTACAAATATTGACATAATCAAATTATGAAGTATTGATATATACAACAATGTTTTTATTTGAGTTTAAATGTATTTTCAATTGTCCTTCTAATACTTGTAATTGAATACTTTTTTTGTTACACAGTCCAAAGATTTACCAGGATATGGTTGCACACTCCATGTCTTCAATGGAAAAGCCTCATCCCCAACAATACAATATGGCATCTTCTTGCCATCATTTATCAGAGGTCTTGGGTCTGGTAACTGGACTTTTCCTTGCACTTTATGTATATATACAAAATATATATGTTTTGCATTTTAAGATCAATTAAGTGCATACCATTTAGGAATGCTGATCCAAATGTTGTATTTTCGAGGACTCCAGGTCACTCCACCGGCCAGGTTCTCCAACATCAACATACACAAACTGATAATGGGCATCACACATTGCCATCAGCACAATGGAATGAAACTTTTGTAATTGAAGAAGGCTGAGCCAGAGTTTCTAGGAGCCTGAATTGCAATATGTTTCCCATCCAAAGCACCAATACAATTTGGAACATTCCAGACAGTAGAGACCCTATTTCAATTGAAAAACTAGGTCACAAACAGTAAAGAAACTTTGTTTCAAGCTCAGGAACTCACTCCGTGCAATAAACCAACATGATAATGAGATAGAAACTCACCCTTGCTCAATACCCTGCCATTCTAATACACTCGATGGTGCTTTTAAATACATTGGCATAAGTACAGACCACAAAACCTCACATGTATCGTATATTATGCTGCGAACTGTACTTAAACCACGATGATATGCCAAGGCCACTGAGGCGAATCTCCTGTTGGCAGTCTACGCTAAGTAGCTAGAAATGGCTAGCCTTTCTCCTGGTGAAACTGACTGCCGCAAATGAGTATTTTGCCTTCTTAATGAAGGACCAACTCATCTCAAAAGGAAATCAAAGGTCATTTGATTCATTCTGAAGTAAATAAAGAATTGTTCTTCGTCATTCCTCAATTCTTGAACCACATTTCCAAAGTCACCTTGTTCGCGTTGTCGTCGGTTCATATCTCTCACCCAGCAGCGCCTCTTACGAACTACCCGTCAGTTTTGTTTGTTTTCTTCTTCGTCCAGCTGTAAGTTTTTTCTTAAGACGATGGCACTTTACATGGAGACTGGGATTCACAAATATCTTCACCAACTGCATGTAGTTCTTCTTCAAATGGCCAATCGTTTGCTTCCCCAGTGCATACTTCAACATGCTCAGCTCCATTACTAGTAGATAGTACTTCCTCATCGAGAGAACATGTTTCCTTCAGCGATGGCTTATGGAGAGTATGTCGAATAATCTACAAAACTTATATCGAATTTACATATGAAAAAAGAAAAATTAACATAAACAATCGTAAACTTACTTGTCTTCGCTTTCGATCGGTTATTTCGTCCTGTAATGGTTCAGGAATCCCAGCCACGTCAATGGTTGGGATAGCATCTTTCTTCAACCTTCTTTTGAGCTTGACTTGCACGCTCAAATTAAGGTCAAAACAAGAATCTTCAAAATGCGCAGAACACAGACACGAGGTAGAGGAAGCCTCAAAACCCGGTCTATGTTTAGGCACAAAATTTACCCATTTTCTATTTCTTTGCGGCTCTGTTTCTTTTTTAGGAAACAGATGCATCGACATTCCTTTGGTTTTTGAATCATTGGCGCAACTAATTTCATTAGGTCCGCCAGCAACACAGCGTTTTCCTCCGCGTTTCTTATTAAGATTACTAGTAGAATACGCCATGTTGATATATGTGTTCAACTTTCTACGTCACAAGTCATTAGCATACCGATCAAAAAGTTCGCAAAAAAATGCTGAAAATCGTGACTTTGAACGTCCGTAAAATCACTTTCACCAATCCAATTTCAATTATAATTGCAGATTTGAAATCACTGAAACAAGGTCTTTCAATTTAGCTAATAAAAAAGGGGGGCTAAAATTCGTAATATAAGCACTTTAAGGCTTATCGTTCTTAATTGTTTACCCGGAGGGAATAAATTTTGCGTTAAATACATGAGACATTCCTCGATGATGTGACCCACAGGTGAATAAATCAGACATCCGTTGATCATTACAACATTTTGACATAAGATCGTCTACAATGACTAAAGAGTTTAGACATCCTTCCAAAATATCTGTCAAATTGTCAGGGAAACCTTCAACAAAAATTACATTCGGTATCCTTTTAACCATTTCGTCAAATTCCATATGAGGTTCGCCATACCAGTAAATGATTTTACTTGGAACTGGGTGAAACAGCTCATTCAAATTATAAAGCATCGACCTAACTGATGCTTCTAAAATTGTTGAAGCTTGATGATGAAGCCTAATTGTTGAAGCCTGATTGATGCTTCTAAAATTGTTGTTGCCGAAAGGCTTTTAGCATTACCCAATTGCTATTGTTTAATTGCTTCGTTTAAATTTCTGTCTTACTGTGATGGGTTTGCCCAATTTGACTAATAGCCAACCGAACTAACATAGTCAAGCTCACTGTCTGAATTGAATGTTTCATCGTTTCATTGTAATTTTCTAAAGCAAGATAGAAACTACAATCAGAATATCAGGTGGCATATAGGGAAATCTTTTACAAATTCGTATATTGACATGAATGCTGCTGTTCAGGCTGTGAATTTTTCCAAGAAGGTGAAAAATTTATGGATGAATTGTAAATGCTTGTTAAAGATGATCTCAGCAGAACCATTTCAGTCATTGATGTTCAAAAGCAAGCCATTATTATTTAGAGTTTTCTCAACAGAAATTTACATCTAAAATCGTAACTAAAGGACAACTGAAGTGTATGCATGAATGTAAAATATCAAAGTCAATTGATGCGAGTATGTGATGTGATTTATGTCAATGTGGCGTATGGTAAGCAGATTGATGCTTCTAAAATTGTTGTTGGCGAAAGGCTTTTAGCTATGATTTCTTTAGTGCTTGTGGAATCTTGGCCGTTGTATGGCAGCAAAATCGTACATTCCTTCATAAACGGTGCCATGCTATTATCATAAACAAATGTTTGGGACTTTTTAGTTTATGATCATTGATAATTCAATCATTGGACAGTTATACTACAAATTGTTTAAGATTTGAGACAACTAGTTTTGATTACATGAGCAGCTGCTTGTGTGTTGTTACATATTGTCCCCTTTTCTAACTGAACACCTCATGTAGAGATGTCAAGGTGTGTTGATCGTTGGTCCTTACGAGATTTTTTGCCAGAA